CAAACTTCCCCCCTCAGCGCGCCGCTGAGCCGATCCTCCCGCCCTCCACGGGCGGGGCTGGGGCAGGGATGCCTCGTTCCAGAGCGCTCTGGGAGGCTCTCAGAGAGTGTCAGGGCGCTCTGGAGCGGCCGCGGCGCCCGGCGCATCCTCCAGAGCCGCCGCACCTCGGAGATCCCCGACGCCGGCAGCCCCGTCCGACCTCCCGTCTCCTGCCCTGGCTGCCTCTCGCCTCCGTGCCGCGCGGCGCTGGCGGCCGCCGCGCCGCGCCCGCCGACGATGCCGCCCGCGACGCGCACGGGCCCGCGCCCCTGCGAAGGCGCGGCCCTGCGGCCGCCGGCCGCTCGGCCCGCGGCCGCGGCCGCCGGCCGCGCGCAGGGGCGGGGCGTCGTCGTCTGCGGCGGCGCGGTGGTCGCCGGAGGGAGGAGACACCCGAGCCCCTCCAGCCATGAAGAAATCACGACGGCAGGTTTCTCATCATTCTCGGCCTCTGGGGGCTCTTGCTAGGCCTCTGGACCATCAAGAAGCGACTCAGGATGAACAGCCGGTTCTGGGGAACGGGTCGAGACTTCCGAGGGTCGACGTCGTGAAAAATCATGTCGGGGGTTATTGGGAATGGTACGTAGCACCCCGCAGTTGCGGATAGGAAGGAGTGAGGGAGCGAGGGAGCGGGCGCGGGGTGGGTCGCGGGGGGGTCGCGGGCGGGTCGCGGGCGAGGACGACGACGACAACAATAATTTGGCAACCAACATGTACATCCCAATTCCCTCGATGCCCGCCTTGTCGGCTTCGATCGTGCACCCTTTGGAGGGATATGCTCCTTCCCTGCCACGCGTAATTAATTGGCGCATCCCTTCAAACAGGAAGAGCAGAAATTCGCCGGCCCAACGGGCCAACGGCGTGCTAAGATCTCCGGTGACTGGTTAACAATATTCTCGTTCGCGCGCGCGGGGCCGCCCCTGGGGGCCCCTGGACGAAAAGTACCCCGGCAAGGTCCCGGTAAGTCCCGACAAGGTCCCGGCAACTCCAGGCAAGGTCCCGGCAAGTCCGGGCAAGGTCCCGGGCAGGTGCCCGGCAGGTCCCGGCCAGGTCCCAGCAGACAACCCAAGAGCGTTCCAGGAGCGCTTCAAGTGGCCTCCAAGAGAGCTCAACATGGTCCGAGACGACCCAAGAGCGATCCAAGACGCCAAAGATGGCCTCCAGACAACCCAAAGCGCTTGCAAGACGCCCCCAGAGGCCTCCAAGAGACCTCCCATGAGGGCCCTCAGACGGAGATGTTAGTGAGTTTAATCTAGCTTAAGCCCAAACAAATGCGTTCTCGCCCTGGGGGCTTACCAGCGCTCCAAGACGGCCCAAGAGCCAAGAGGTTTCCAGGATCGCCCCAGCACAGCCCAAGAGGCCTCCAAGAGCGGCCAGCGAGGGCTGCAGAGAAGGGGCCCTTTAGGGCCCCTCACGGAACCGGGCCCTCGAAGGGGGCCTTCAGGGTCCAAAAAGAGTGATTTTCTCTCCCCCCAACTATCGCCCCCCACGAAGCGACGCCCAAAGGGGGGCGGGGGTGGGTGCGGTGTCCTCGGCGGGGTGGGGGAGGTGCCAGAACCGTGCGCGCGTGCTGAAACACAGTGATCGGGGCGGAGGCGGCAGTGGGCTGCCAGAAAACTGTGCGAACGGGGTGGGGTGGGGGATGGCGCCGATGTCCTTTCCTGGGGGGGGGGGCGGTGCCGTGCGCGCGTGTCGTAACAGAGTGGTCGGGGCGGATGGGGGCATTTGGTTGCTGGGGAACCCAAGGACGGGGGTGGGGCGGGGGGCGCGGCGTTTTTTTTGTACAGGGGGGCCGGTGCCGTGCGTGCGTGCTGAGATAACAGCGAGCGAGGGCGGAGGGGGCAGTGGGCTGCTGGGGAACCAGCGGGTCAAAAGCAGCGATACAGGGGGTTGGCATAGGGGAGGATACATGGACCCCCGATCGCCCATCGATCGCCGATAGGGGCCCGAGAACCCCAAGCTGCCCAGGAACGCGCGGATTCACTATCGGGGCCCTATCGCCGATCTATCAGCGATGTGTCGCCGATTCCAGGTGGATGCGTTCCCGCGCGCGCGCAGCGTCGCGCGCGCCCAAATCTTTCAAACACCTCAGGTTTCGCAAGGGTTTGACAATCGAGTGGCAACAAACATATGAAAGCACATGGCTTCGCAACGCGGATTTTCAGACAAAGCTTGCGCGCGCTCTTGCGAATGGTCAAGAAAACAATCATGGGTGTTTCAACATGTTCCTAAATTCGTTCGAACACATGTCGAAATCGTTCGAACGCCCTTGCGCGCGTACTTTCGCGAGAATCCTTTGCAATAAGTGGGGCGAAGCGCGTGCGCGCATGCCGGAATCTTTCGAAGACCTTTCTTTTAGAGAGAATTTCAGATCCGAGAATCCCAGAACCATAAAAAATGGTTTCGCAACATGAGTTTTCAACAAAAAATCTTGCGCTCGCGCTCTTGCGAATGCGTAAAGCAAACCATGATTGCTAACATGTTCAAGGAATTCTGCCAAAGGGGCCTCTGGCGGCCCCGCATGCCGAAATCATTCGCGCGCCCTCGCGCGCCTGCTGGGGGGGCACGATCCGCGTCAAATAATGCCACGCTGCCCCTCTCGCGCGTCGGCCGCGCGCGCATGTCGAACTCTTTCCGGAACCATCTTCGCCGACGCGAGCGCGCCGTCATTGTCTCCGGCGTGATCAGCATCGGCGCCGTCACTGGCCGCGCCGTCGTCGCTGACAACCTCGTCACCGGCATCGCTGCTAACATCGTCGTGTCTACTGATGCCGACGCTGCAATGATACCGCGCCCGCCCACGCGGCCGATTCGCATTCAAGTGCCCGCTGGGAAGTATCCGGAGGTCACCGCCACCGCGGCCGCGTCGGTCGCGCCAAATTAGCTGGCCACTGCTCGCGCGCGCGCAGGCACGGGCTGGCGCGGCCGTAAGGATGCGCTAGCCAGCACCAAGCACTCGTCGCAATCGCCGCCGCGTGTGTTTTGCAAACCAAGTTGCGGGTGGGTGGGTGGCAGGATGCACAATTCAATTGCAACACGTAAATTGCATCACGTCAATTGCGCTGCCTATTTCGCGCACCGCATAGTTTGCACAACATAGTTTGCACCACAGATTTAACATCACATTTATTGCACAAAATCTTGCACCACATAGGTTGGACCACATAGAGTGTTCCGCGAATGTTGCCCACCATGCGTGGTACAGCAAAGATTGCAGGACATATAATGCGCCGCATCTTTGCGCCACGTATATTCTGTTTTTAAAAGGGAGAATGGACTCTACCCCCCCTCGAATTGATCGGTACCCTTTTCGTATTGCAATTTGCATATGATTCTGCCCCATCGTCCATCCTAGATATGAGTTCGCACCATCCCACTGGGGCCGGCATCGCCCCCCCCGCCATCCTTTGTCCAAAAGTTGATGCGCGCGCATTCGTTCGTCAAAAATCATCAGTTTGCAAGAGTCCCTTGCAATGGATGGGACGAAGTGCACACGCGCGCGTCGCCGCGCGCCCATGCCGAAATCCTAAAAAACGTTTGGTTCCGTACTGATTTCAAATCCGAGTGTCCAGACAGCGTATAAAAGCACGTGGTTTCATTACGCGGATTTTCAAAACAACCAAAAAGATGCGCACCACGTAGACTGTCCCACCTAGATTGCACAAGGTACATTGCTAGACACACACAGACGCATTGTTTGGGCTCCACGCTGGCTTGCTCTTGTTCCGTGACCAATGTTCGCCAGCGTGAATCCCAAAGTTTGTGTTTCTAGCAACCTGCGTTGTACACAATGTTTCGAACAGCATGTGTTGTTGTGCAATGTTTGCTCAGATGTGCTTGGTGCAATCTATGTGGTGCAATCTGAACAAAGGGATACAAACCATGCGAAGCCATGCCATACAAGACAAATCGGTGCAACGCAACGCAAATCAACGCAAACTATCACAAATTAGTGCGCATTGTAATGTACAGCAATTCAACGCAATACCACGCCAAGTACCGCAGTGCAGCGCAAAGCAAGGCCCTGCAGCGCAACGCAAAGCAGCGCAACGCAAAACACTGTAACACAACGCGAAGCAACGCAAGGCATCACAATGCAACGACGAGGCGCGACGGGGCGGCGACGGCGAGCACGGAACTCTGGGAGGGGCATTCCATTTGAAACGCTGCAATGCGCACGGGATGGGGGAATCTACAACATGTAGTATTTAGAAGTGAGGGTTCAGCAACAACGAGTCACAACCACCACGCATAACGCTGGCCACGGAGCCCCACACCCAGGGATGGTGTAAGACCGTTTGGCCCCCTCATTTTGAACGATACCATGTGCCGATACCGTCACGCTTCATTTGCTTCGCCTGTTTGGGCCTCCTGGGAGGCCCTCGTCGTCTCGGCGGGATTCCCCCCGAGATCGTAGTCAAATCTTACACCGGGAGAGGTCCGGGGAGGAGGTGTCGGTACTCTTTTTGGTTTCCCATGTCGGCTGCATCGCGAGGGCCTTCTTGGGGGGGTCCTCGGCGGGAGTCGCCTCGAGATCCTGCTCAGGAGGCGCCCCAGGGGAGGAGCGGTGTCGGCTTTCTTTTGTTTCCCCAGGTCGACTGCATCGCGAGGCCCTGCTCGGGGGAGTCCAAGAGGGGGGCGCCAGAACTCCGATGCTGTGTTCAGTTTCGTCCTGGCGTTTGTCAAATACTTCGGCCTTTGGGGGCCACTTTTCGGACGCAGATCTGCCCCCTTTGCAGGATTTGAGAAAGCTGGCCCCGGACCTCCGACGATGTTTGGTCTCTTGCCGGCGTTTGTCACACGCGTCGGCATTTGGGGGCCGTTTTCGGATGCAAAACCTACACCCTTGCAGGATTTGAGCAAGCATGGACTTCTGCGGGGGATCTCATGGCCAGGGGCATGATGTCTCCCGGCAGCACGTGCCCGTGGCCCCCCTTCCTCGTGTGCGCACATGCCTTCGTGCCATGATCCCCCCCCCCTCCGCCCGTCCCCCCTCTTCGGCGCACCCGACCTTCGACGGGTCCCAGCGTGGCGCGTCGCGCACGTCGGTCCCGGGGGAGGCGCGGGTGAGCTACGGCGGCGTCGGCCGCAACATCGCCGAGATCGTCGCGAGGCTCGGCGGCGCGGCGTCCCTGGTGTCGGCCGTGGGCGACGACGACCGCGGCGCCGCGATCCTGGAGGCGTGCAGGTCCGCTGGCGTGGCGGCAGGCGCGGTGGAGGTGGTCCGCGGTGCTCCGGGGCGACGTTAACAAGGGCGCCCTCGAGGGCGCGAAGTTATTCGCGCTTCGCGGTTCGGCTCCGATTCCTCCTCACCCTCCTCTGGCCGCGCTGTATCAGGCCGTGTGTCGCCTGGGCCCGCGCCCGCCGTCCGCCGTGATGGCCACCGCTGGGCTCGCCGCGCGTGCTGAGGCCAGCGGCGCGGACGTTGCGCGCCGGGGGGCCCTGGAGGCCGCCCGTGGCGCGCTCCAGGGGACGCGTCGTCCCTTGGCGGGGCGCGCCTCCTGCGAGCGGCGGAGGACATGCTGAGGGCGGCGATCGTCGACCTCAGCCAGCCCCGCAGGCTCGAGCCCCCCCGCGACCTCCTGGAGCTGCTGCCGACGCTCCCGAAGCGGAGCCTCGGCCGCCAGGCGCCCCCGCGCCTCGGCGGAAGCGCCGCCGCGGGCGACGTCGGCGAGGCGCCGCCGCTGCCGCGACGAGGATGGACGCGGAGGGCGATGGAGGCGGGCGGCGGGACGAGGGCGGCTGCTGCGCGGGCGGGCGGCCCACGCGCAGCGGCGGCCTCCCGTGACCTCGGGGATGGCGACGACGACGCCCCCCTCGGCGACGACGGCTGGGCCGACGGCCTGGCCCGCGGCGCACCGCCCGCCGCCGCAAAGGGAGCTGCTGGCAATGGGTCGTCGTCAGCTCCCTGCTGGCAGCGGGGCGCCTGTGGCGCCCGCGGCGGCGGCGGCCCCCTCGGCGGAGGGGATGGAGGATGGCCTCGAGCCGCTCACGCCGCCGGAGGACCCCGCGGAGCTGTTGGCGGCCATCGCGCGCGCGCCGCCGCCGGCCTGGGCTCCGGGGCGGCGCGGGGGGGCGGCCGCGGGAGGCGGTAGGAGCCTGTGCCGCGTGCGGCTCGGGCGCCGCCTCCCCGCCCCTCCGCGCAACGTCGGGCTCCACGGCGTGCACTTCCTGCACATGCTGTTCTGAATACCGTGCCTGTGTACGGCGGTGCGCGCGCAGCCGTGGAGGAACGAACGGTTGCGCCCATGTCGCGCGCGTCCTCATCCTCTTCTTCTCCACTGGGGGGGCGGCGCGAGAGCGCGAAGTTATTCGCTCTTCGCGCTTCGCGCGGCGCGAAGCGCGAAGGTGGGGGCCTTTGGTTAAAGGGGGGGGGGCGACAGGCTCGAGGTCCGAGGGTTGCGGGCGTGTTCGTCGGACCTCTGCGGTTTTCCTGCCTCGGGGTGCCTTCTGGCAACTGCGCCTCGCCGAGGGCTATATGGGGGTGTTCGGATCGTCCCGAGCGGCCGCATGGTGCCCGAGGCATGGCCCGAAAACGGGCGGGGTCTGGGATCGGCGCAGGGGGGGGCGCATCGACCCCCAATCGCCCAGTGATCCCGGATGGGGGGCCAATAGCCCACCCCGCCCAGGAAAGTGCGCATTCGTTATAGCAGATCTATCTGCGATGTATCGCCGAGTGCAGGTCGACGTATCCCTCCTGAGCCAGTCCACCCCGTCGTTGCCCCGCAGGTGCCCGCACGGCCACGTACTCGGCGCTAATGGACGGCGGCGGGGAACTGGTCGGGGCCGTGGCCGACATCGGAAGAGGGAACAGCGGCATAAGCGCACATGTTTTACCCGACGGATTTCCTAGTTTCGAAAATGTCCGCGGGCAAGCGCTCCGCAAAGGAGCAGGACATATAGCAGGTTTGTCCGCGCGTACATGCGCTGGACGCCCCTCCATGGCCAGGAGCGCGCCAGTGGGGGCCAGCGCCGATCCAAGGAATGTGCGTAGAATCCAGAACTGGTGGAAAATGCTCGCATGCCGAAGCCTTCGCCACGTGGCGGCCCGTGCCGCCTCGGGGGCGCTCCGCGTTTGCGGGGGGGGGGGGGGGGCGGGCCGAGGTTGCGCCACTCAGCCAAGCCGCCCACCTCCACAGCGCAAGAACGCCCTGCTTCGGGGTCCGCGCTGGCGAACATGTGCTTATGCAGCTATTGATTCTTCTAGACGTGGCGGTATTCGACCGCATCACGCCAGCGTCGGTCCAGGCTGGGCTCCTGGCCGAGGGGCCGGGTGCGGATCTGGTGCTCTGCGACGCGAATTTGGGGCGCGAGGCGTTGCAGCGGGCACTGGACTACTGCGCGGGGGCCAACCTGCAGGCCTGGCTGGAGCCCGTGTCCGTCGCGAAGGCGGTGCGAGGGAGGCTGTCGCGGCCGTGGGATTCCGGAGGGCACAATTTTTCCGCCCACGCCTCGTAAGGAACAAAGATTGATTGATACCGTCACCGTTCGGTCGTCAGCACGGCCGGGTCCGCTCGAAATTTCCGTCAGAATGCACCCCAGGAGAGGTCCAGGGAGCGACGGATATGTAGATTATGCTCCCCCACGTGCGCCGCCGACGCCTCACTCTCGTTACCACGGTTGGATTCGCCTCGAAGTCTTGGTCAGAACGCACCCTGGGAGAGGTCCACGGAGTAGCGGAATTGGCACTTTGTGGTTTTCCAGAACCCGTTTTTATCTAGTTTTCTCTTTCTCACTTCTCACTTCCTCCCCTCGGGGGCAACGATAGGCGGGGATGGGCATACTCAGGCGGGGACGCATCGACCCCTGATCGCCCATTCGTGGCCGATAGGGGCCCGGTAGCCCCAACCTTCCCAGGAATACGCGGATTCACGATCGGGGGCCTGTCACCGATCTGTCGGCGACGCATCGCCGATTCCAGGTCGATGCCCCTCCCCCCCTATGCCAGTCCCCCCCCCCTCTCGTTGCCCCTCATCACCTCGCTCGCCGCCGATCTGCTTGTCATCGCTCGGACGTGTGCATTTGTTCGTCGGCGGGGATCGTTGCCCCTCATTCGTCGGCGAGCGAGGGGGGGAAGCGAGAAGGAGACCGCCTTCTCAGAAGGCGGCGGGACTTCTCAGAAGCTCTCACGCTTTCTGAGAGGTTTTCTGCGTCGTCGGGTAAGGCTTAGAACACTTCTCAGAAGGCCGTGGGACTTCCGAGCCCTCTGAGAAGGCCCTCTCCTTCTGGCTTCCCCCCTCGCTCGCCGCCGATCGCCCCCTCGCTCGCCGCCCACCTGAGCCCTCGCAGGACTTGGTCTCGCCCAACTGGGACGAGCTCCTGGCCATGCTCGGGCGGCAGCCCTCGCCTCTACTGGCGCCGGCGGCCGGGGAGCTGCCCCAGCAGGCGCTGGGCGCGCTCAGCGCCGCCTTAGACGAGGGCCTGGCGCGCAGCGTGCTGCTCACCATGGCTCCCCGGGGCACATCGGCGTCACCCCAACACGCTAATACTATGTTTAGATGCTCGTTTGGGGGACCTCCCTGCGTCCCACCTTGCAGATCTGCTCGACTCCAGTTCGACCCCAGTTCGACTCAAGTTCGACTCCAGCTCGACCCAGGTTCGACTCAGGTTCAATTCAAATCAAGGTCGACTCGAACCGACGGACGTTCGACGCAGCTTCGATGCACGAGTGGAGTGAGCGTCTCCAGGAAGGTCCGCATAATGAGTAGCCAACGAAGCGTGCGTCGCCCATCCCCCCAAGGGCGACGCGCGCGCCGAACAATCTTGTGGTATAACCCAGGGAAGCTGTTAAGACCCCCCTGGGTTCTCGTCAGCACCGAAACGACAATAAATATATCGCGGGGGGTAGCCGAGCGATATCGTTAGCACCGCACCAAAACGCAACCATATATAAATATCTCGCCCCCTCGCGAACGAAATCTACAACCGCCGCAAACAACGGTATTCATTCCCCGCCCTCCCTCCCGCGACTGACATCAATAGTTAGTATGGGTGACAATGTTGACAGTGATAGATATCTACTCTTGTGGCGTGTTAGAAACAGCTGGAAACAGCGTGAGAGCGCTCTGGAAACACTGTTGCACAATTAACTGAAATGAGCTCACATTGAGCTGGTCTCGTCGCTCAGCGCGCGCGTGATCTGACGCCGCCTCTCCAACATAACGCTCTCCCGCGCGCTCTTACTCATGCTGCGGTCGTCTGGGTCTGGCGTTCTCGAGCGCCCTGCTCTCGAGGACACCAGCTTCTGATGGTCCTTGTGCCACTTCACCGCCTGGGCGCCCTCGTTGCGGTGACTGCGCCTCCTGACCCAGCTCACGTCCGTCCCAGCGGCGTCGGGCTGAACGACCCTGCGCACCGTCTTAGTGCTGAAAGCTCATGGGTGCCACGGCGCACTGAATTGCAAGCCAGGCCACGTGATGCCGAGAGGCGCCAGACCCCCCTGAATGGCCGGCGGGCCCTGTGCAGACTCGACGCACGCGGGTGCTGAGCTGAGCGGCTGAGGGCGCGGGCTTTTGTGTTCCGCCCCCGGGCTGGTGCGTTGGGACGGAGAGTAAGTTGTGTTCGGCATTACTCTGACAACTGGAGCTTGGCGCGGAGCAGGAGCCAGCGCGGCTACGGACAGGGCCTGGAGAAACCACCAGACATTCCAAGAAAGACAAACATCCCGAAGAGTCCCGAGACATCCCGAGAAGTCCCAAACGGCAGACGACATCTCGAGGAATCTCAAGAACCCCGAGGATCCCGAAAAATCAAACGAATCCCAAGACATCCCGAGACACTCCAATAATCCCCACGTCTAAAGAAACACAAGTTTTCAAGTGTCCAAACAAATCCAGAGAAACCCAAATAATCCCGAGGGTCCCAAGAGGTGTGCTGTAGTTACTGCGTGCCTTCCTTGCGGAGTGTGCTGCGCGCTTTCTGGGCCGCGCAGTCTGGGCTCATGCTCGCGGCGACGCTGACGATA